AAGCGAAGTGCCTGGAGCAGTGCGTGAGGCGAAGTCTTGAGTTCGGATAAGGGGGGGCCCCGAACTGTCATAAGACGGGCCAGTTCGGGTCTCTACTTTGTGTGACTCGGGGTCAAAGAGGGAGTTCGGGCCCCTCGCAGGGAGCTTCGGCCACTAAGTAGGGGGTTCGGGCACCCTGCAGGGAGTTCGATCACAAAATAGGAAGTTCGGGCCCTTTGCTAAGGAGTTCTGACCTGCTGGTCCCTTCCCTTTGACGTTTATACCCTTGGTACGCTATTTTAAGTGCCTAGCTACTTGCCCTTTTTGCTACGTACCGTGATTTGTGATATCGGGCAAAATCTTCGTTCGTTACATATTTAGACTCAAAAAACGAAAATGAGATTTATTTCTCATAGAGGGATACTTCACATACACATCCACCGTACACTGAGGTCGGTGAACAGATCCGGTCTCCAAAATGCGCCACGACGTTAAAGCGACATCAGCGATTTTACTTGGTGTTCGGTTGGTCAAAAAATTGATTATTAAAATCAGGTTGAAAAGAGAAATGATCAAATTCACTTTGGATGGGCTCATGGGCTTAATATGAAAATTTGGAGTTAGTTCTGACGAGCAAAACACTAGAAAGTCATATATGGTGATCGGTGAGAGGCCTAGAATGTTCTTAATAATTCTCAGAATATGGAGAAAGTCCACGAAAGTACCAGACTCTTCCTCTTCTTCGCTATAAATACCGAATGCGTCCTACTGTCTCGTCATCGTCAACGATTCTCGAAGTTCGAACAGCTCCTCAAAGATTTGTGTTCACTTCCTCTCAATCTCTCATTGCTATTTCCACATCTCTCCTGTTGACACTTCATTCTGCTTCTGCTTCAAACAAAAACACAACGAATCAAAGATATGTCGATCATCCCCAGCATCTTCGGTGGCCGACGATCTAATATCTTCGATCCCTTTTCTATGGATTTGTGGGATCCATTCCATGACTTCAGCTTCGCCACTGCTCTCAGCATTCCTCAATTCTCGTCCGAAACAGCAACTTTCGCCAATGCCCGCATCGATTGGAAGGAGACCCCAGAAGCCCATGTCTTCAAAGCCGACCTTCCTGGGCTCAAGAAGGAAGAAGTGAAAGTTGAACTGGAAGAAGGCAGGGTCTTACATATCAGTGGAGAGCGCAACAGAGAACACGAAGAGAAGAACGATAAGTGGCACCGCGTCGAACGCAGCAGCGGCAAGTTCCTTCGTCGGTTCAGGCTGCCGGAGAATGCCAAGGTGGACCAAGTGAAGGCGGCTATGGAAAACGGAGTTCTCACTGTAACTATCCCCAAGGAAGTGGTTAAAAAGCCCGAAGTCAAGGCTATTGAAATCTCTGGATAGAATAAATACTGTAATGCTCCCATCTGCTGATGAATGCGTCGTCAGTTAAAATGTAGTACGAGATGGGATGATATGGCTTTTTCTGTATATGACTTGTTTGATGTACTGTGGAACCAAATTAGCCATTCAGAAAGACTTGCTTTTGTAAAACCTCGTTTTTTGATGTAATGAAAAAATGGCATGTAAGGCTTTTCAATTTTATGAAATTTGAAATCCTTTGTGGTTGTTTCAATTCAACTTTGATGGCTTTCTACATGAGAATTTAACTTTTTTTTTTTTTTCAGTCTCCTTGCCTTCTGCTTCTGATGCTTTGAAAATTTAAGAGTTGTTATGTGGTTTCATAAATTAAGTTCCCCCTCCCGACAAGAATAACCGTATGTCTTCTTGTTAGAACTCCAATTCAACATTTAGTATTTCCTCTTGAATTTGTTGGTGTGGTTTTGATTATTCCAGAATTACGTCTTTTGCATCCATAGGTGGGAGACAGCTGCTCTGATGCAAGGAATGGAGGGGTTTGAGTTCAGACTTCTATCATGAATAGTAGAAATTGCAGTAGGATTAGTAGGAAAATTGTTGTAAGTGGGGATTGAACATTAGCATCCTGGGAGATATGTAATTGGTCTTGAAGAACAATAACAGCAGAAACTTCAACGACAACCTGTGTAAATTTGTGTTTATGGAGTGCTATCGAGGAAAATCAGAACATCAGATGATAAAAGTTGTACCGGGCACCTTTTTAAAGCTTTGAACCCATGAGACTAGTTGAGCCATGACTTACTGCTGATCATCATCTAGACGGTTTGATATCCCCATTCCCCAGTAGCCTTTCCATCCTGCACATGGTGGAACAGGGTGATCTTTGATTTCTGGGCTTCAAAAGTTGTTGCTTTCAAGAATTGGCATTTGATCTTTGATTTCTGGGGAAGTTCTTAATCGGTTTTCTGAAAGGAGGAAATCTTGTGTCAATCAAGAAGAAATTTTCAATCTCCCTTTGATATCCACAGAGAAGACTACTTTCCATGCAAATTTATAACACAATTTAACATTATTTAGTTCAAATATAGACTTTTCAGTAAAATAGTCCCCCTTTCAATTTGCTAACTTTAAACCCATTTAAGAACAAGGGTTCAATATGCAGGTTTTGTTGACACTTAATCTCCTTACTGTTTTTTGTTAGTAACAATCTCCTTTACTGATTTTTTAGTAATTGGAGCTCTTCAGAAGCTGATATTTTAGTCTATATGCAATAGCAATGAACAATTAGCTTTATATCTCCACTAAAAACCTAAAACAATAACAATGGACCAATTCGCAAAAAAACAAATTACAGGAAATATGAGATGGGAAATGAGGAATGGAAGGAGCTTAAAGTGAATTGCAGGGAATGAATGAGATCATCAGAATAAAGGACTCCGTCTTCCCAGAAATCCCTGGAAGCCTGAAGCTCTCCCATCTCCTCCCTAACCTCCCAGTATTTCTTGCATCTGAGACCATTGCTCTGTCTCTACTCTAACATAAAGCTTGAACTGATTCTTCATGAATCATAACTAGGAGATCCACAAGAACTGTCAATGGGATTTGTTTGCCTTTGTCAGGTTTGTTTGGTAACTCCACAAAAACTGATCATCATGGCTGGGGACCCACGTTTATGGTGAAAGAAAAGGAGCAACATGAGAAACTTCAAAATATTTATTTGTCAGAACTTACTACTGAGAAGTCAGAAGCACTCGGAAATCAGACAAACAGTTGTGTGTAACTAAGAACATTGTTTAGAGTTTGGACTGATATTATTAACAGATCTGTAATCTGCAATTCTGTATGTTGAAGATATAATTATTTCCAAATGGTAGGTGCATTTTGAACTTACGTTAACATTCTAATAAGCAAAAAATTAAAAAAAAAATGTGAATATCCAATAATTACTGTTTTTCTGGTTGTTGGGCAGGGCATGGGCTGGGTCCAGTAAGCCCATCTTAACCTGGGCATTACGCACAGCCCACTAGCACCCATTAGTCACTACAGATTGAAGAACCCAGTTCCCTAATTTTCTATTCTAAGATCTTGATCTCCACTGTGCAAATCTATGAGAACTGATATATCAATCCCATCGTCTATAGGCCCAATCTAGGTGGGTTCCTTCGGATGATGGATTTTTATCTTGTTATCTACCGGTATACCACGTCGTAAGTTATGCGGGCCCCACCACAACTAGCGCTTCTATATCCCAATTCCCACCCAAGCCAAGGGCATCTGCAATGACTGAACATTTGGTGGGCCACATTTTTATCTCCATTATCATACTTATCATAAATCACGATACAGGATATCTCCTCTCCTAACAGCTAGAATGTTCGAATAAACTAGAACTCTAGAAGCATAGAGAAAGTTCGGGAAAGTATTTAGAAGCCTCTCTTCTTTTCTATAAATACTGAATGCCTCCCTTCC